GTGTGTGTGTGTGTGTGTGTGTTTTCTTAAGTTTTCGCAGGTACTTACATGTATGGTATTCAGCTTTGTTCGGGTATTTTCCCACATCATTATAGTTATGCTTTTAAAGTTGTAGCAACGTTTCGGCAGAATCTCATCTGCCATCATCAGGCTTCTGTATTGTGTTCGTCTGTGAGTCAGACTTTCACAGCCGTTTCTGTTTTAAATTTGGGGCTAGCCTACTGCTGTGTCAGAATGGTCTTTTCTTCATCCTGATTGGTTGGGAGTCTTGGTCTGTGTTTATTGGTCTTGGAGTTTACTGTGTTCTGCTTGATTGGTGTTTCTAATATCTTCTGTCTGTTTTGTGGCTTTTTTTGTCTTGGTTGGCTGGCAACATTGTGTTCCTGTATTGGAGGCTTTTAGTGCAGCTTGGCTCCGAGTAAATGGAGAGCTATCATTTGTTAGGAAGCTAGGTTTCATCTGGGTGCCTGGTTGGGGTGTGTTTGAGCTGGAGGTATCAGGGGGAGTCTGTTTGTGCACAGGTGTTTGCCTGGCTTGTGGTGTGGAGATTTTTTTGTTTGAGAGTGCAGGCTTCCAGATAATTGACAGTCTGGAGGAGTCATCTCTTCTATTCATGCTTTCAGGTCTTTTGGTTTTTCAGCAAAACTGCATAGAGATTGAAAAAAGACTTTTTAACCTCAAAAAAGTTTGCAAAATTGGGTTAGTTATCTGGCCCACATGATGCTTAGGTCTGACCCAGGGGAGCACCCCGGAAACAACAAAAGACCAGCCTGCGGTGCCTCTGCTAGCAAAAATGGAGCTCAGGAGCTCCATTTTTGCTGGCAGAGAGCTGCAGGAGGCTGTTGTGGCCAAAAACGGACATCAAGTTGGCCTTGACCATCCTGGACATGCCTCCCCAGCCCCCACTAAGGTCAAACACAACCCTGATGTGGCCCTCAACGAAATTGAGTTTGACACCCCTGGTCTACACCTACATAAGCCTACAAAGAAGTAGAAGGCAGAGGAAATTACCTTGGAGGACAGGAGGAAGAGCTGTTACTAGAGCACTGATAAGAGAGCACTGTGTCATGTCCAAAAAAAAACAAGTCTGGAAAACAGCCTCAGACAAACCTTTGCTTGATTTACCCAAAGATAAGGAAGTTCAGGGGAGAAGCTCATTTAAACTTCATTAGATTTAAAGGATTCTGTTACTATAGCTGTTACAGTCAAAGTAATCCTGATCTATATGGCATTGATGGCTTAGTCTGGTCTACCTTATAGGGCTGACAGTGGAGTTTCATGGATTCACGAAGCAGAAGTCAGCAGGGAGGAAAGGAAAGAGAGTAAATGAGAAACAAATAGGTGAGGATGTGTATACTGATGCATCTAGCCCAATTCTGGACAATTAGCAAGGTCTCTACAGATTATTCAGCCTTCATCAACCTAGTATCCACAAGGTGTCTCGGGCCTACAGGTCAAATATTCCCACTGCTTTCTAACCACACTGGCTGGAAATCCTAAGGGTGACATAGCAACTTATTCAGGAATACAGCACACAGAAGAAAGGTGAATTGCATTGAGTCCATTAAAATGATAGGGCACTGCTTCTACAGTTGTAAATACAGAACATTTATGCTGATGCATTTTTAGATATTCTGATGTATATAGAATCTTCTTCAAATATTCCTTCCCTCTATAGGTAGGAAGTTTTAAGTGCAGAAAAGCTGTTTGCAAGTGACATCCTGGCCATTCAGCATTCTCCACAAGGACATAGCCACACCTGGATCCTTGGTTATTTTTAGGTCCATATGGAAATGATCACAGGCCTGAGATGCTTGGAAATGTGTAACTTTTCCCCTGCAATCTGCTGCCATTCATTTAATGAGAATTCATCTAGCATTTGCAGGTTCGATGGATTTTGACTTAATCTAAGCAAGCAAGACTGAGTGGCTGTGGTTATCTAGACCTTCTGGAAATAAAGTTTTTCCACCTGAATGGGGTGGATGGGGTAGCACTGTCCAGATGGACCCAGTGCACAATCTAGGGATCCTCCCTAGACTCATGGCTCCTGCTCAAAGTTTAGTTGGCAGCCAGGCCTAAGACGGCCTTTGCACACTTTCAGGTAGTGTGCCAGGTGTGTCCATTCCTGGACCGGGAGGCTCTGTTCACAGTCAGCCATGCCCTCATAACTTCTTGTTCAGGTTACTGCAACATGGTCTACTTGGGGTTGTCCCTGAAGATCATTCGTAAGCTTCAGCTGGTACAGAATGCAGCTGCACATGTGGTGACTTATATGTGGCATATGTAACACCACTTGAGCTGCATTGGTTGCTGGTGTGCTTTCAGGTGCAATTGAAGATGCTGGTTGTCACCTTTAAATCCCTGCATTGCTTGGGCCAGGTTACCTAAAGGGACCGTTTCTTCCACAATAGTTTTATGATAAAACGTTATGATAATTTTCTTGGCTGTTATACGTATATTTATTTTGTACTGTTTTTAATTGTTTTGGAACTTTTTGCTCTCCAGAGTCAGTTGAGATGGGTGGCTACAGAAATTAAATAAATAAAATGAGAATGACGGGACTGCAGTTCAACATATCTAAAGGAGACAAGCTCAGCAAAGTCTATGTTAGTCTAGATCAGTGTTTCTCAACCTTAGCTATTTTAAGATGTGTAGGTTTCAGCTGGGGAATTCTGAGTTGAAGTACATCACCATAAACATTGCTAAAGTTGAAGAATACTGGTCCGAAATTTATCCTATTTGCGAATAACCTGCATCTGTTTCAGATCACATCCTCACTCTTAATAACCCGTGCAGCAAAGCACTGCTAAAGCACTGTAAAACACTCACATTTCAGTTCCTAGTTCTGACTTGAGAAACAGGCTTTGCTTCCTTCCCAGGAAGGAACATGCCCTACCCTTGTTTCTGGCAATACGGAGAAGCTACATGCAAAGTGTTCAAACGACTTTACCTCCCCACAAAGAAATTGTAAAACCTCAAGTGAGGATTCCTGCATCTCACAGCTCTCTCCCCCTGTGGATTCTAACATGGGAAACCTACTTAAAATAAATGCATCAGCTACACAATGTTTAGGCATACATTGCATATCAAGAAGACTATGGAATGACAAGGCTCCAGATATATAAGCAGTAAATCCTCAGGGTGATTGGCGGAATTGGGGCATACACAGTATTTCCACACATTATTCTGCTTCTACTAATTCTTAGAGAAGAGGGTAGAATCCAGGACCTGTAGCAAAAATTACTCCTGGTAGTAGTCAGGAAGAAAAAGGAAGGGTATGATAGTTCAAAACAGTCTTCCCTTCGAACTGCGTTGGAACTATAAATCTCAGAATTCTGCAGCACTCATAATCCAGAAGATGCCATTATAAAAATTGGATCCAAGGCTTGAGAAGCACAAATGATCACAGGACTCCATGTACCTTGATGCTATCACATAGCAAAATGCACTGAAATCATGATGCACATAACACCACTTATGGAGATTCACGGTCATCATTCAACTCATAAAACAACTGTGCTCTCTGCTGCCCAACCAGAAAGTGTCTCAATCTTATCAAAACCCATGAGTTAAAACAGGGGTCCCCAATCCCTGGGCTGTGGCCTTTTTTGGAACTGGGCTGCACGAGAGGCTGGTCAGTGCACACGCACAGCTCCACTCATATGAGCGGCGTCCCAAAGGTTTCTCTTCTCTCTTGCACGAGTGAAGCTGCGTGCGCCTATGTACTGGCCCGCCACTCATATGGTCTGGCTCCCCTCTGTCCCCCCCCCCCCAGTTGGGCCACCAAGCCACCTTCTCCTGATGCTCCAAAATGAGAGCGTTGAGAGAAGAGGCTGAGTGGGACGAGCGCGCCCTGCTCAGCTTTGCTGAATCACCAAGGCTACCCGCGCAGGACACCTGATCTGCTTTGGGAGCACTGGGCAGCCTCGGTGAGTTTGAAGGAGCATGAGATTGAGCCCCCAAAGGCTTCTCTTCCCTGTGCCAAAAGCTTCTGCAAATGGGCAAAAGGTTTTTGGGGAGCGATCTCACCCTTCTTCAGGCCTTCCATCCCTTTTCAAAAACTTTTGGCACAGAGAAGGAGAAACCGCACCCCCAAAGGCTTCTCTTCTCTCTTGTGTAGCTGGAGCTGCACGGCCGAGTTCCCCTCTCTCCTCCACCTTACAAGCTGGGCTGCCAAGCCACAAAGGTTGGGGACCGCTGGATTAAAAGATTGTCTCTCCATGGTGCATTTCTAAAAATAATAATAATAAAAAACACAGTGCATTTTAAAATGAATCATACTGAGAAGAGCTCCCTACCTTGTCTTTCAGTTTTTCCATCCAGCTTCTCACTAGAAAATTAACGACATAAAATTAATTGCAATCAAAAGTCACTCAACATTGTAGTAGCATAAGGCCAACTTTTAACCCAATTTTGTAGAGGATTAGAAGCTCCCCCACATCTAGAGTATAGGTAGTCCTCGACTTACAACTGTTCATTTAGTGACAGTTCAAAGATACAACGGCACTGAAAAAAGTGACTGATGACCATTTTTCACACTTACGATCGTTGCAGCATCCCCACGGTCATGGGATTTACATTCTGATGCTTGACACCGGATTCATATTTATGATGGTTGCCGTGTCCCGGGGTCATGTGATCATTTTTTACAACCTTCTGACAAGCAAAGTCAATGAGGAGGCCAGATTTGCTTAAGAACCGGTGCTACTAATTTAACAATCGCAGTGATTCGCTTAACAAATGTGGCACGAAAAATGTAAAATGGGGCAAAACTCACTTAACAAATTTCTCACTTAGCAACATAAATTCTAGGCTCGATTGTGGTTGTAAGCCGAGGACTGCCTGCATATACAATGGCCCCAAAGGCAGTGAACTCAGCAACCCCAGCCATGACGTGTGTGGACAAAACCCTTTCTGAGACATGCTTAAACTCCCAGAATGCTGGTGTCCACCAGCAGCGCCTGGGTGAATATCTCTACCCCACAGCCTCTTCTTCGAATCCTTGAACAAGCACCTAAACAAATCAATGTAAATAACACAATGAGATGATGAAGAACATATAACATTATAACTATGCAAAATATACTTTGCTTTATTCTTGCAGTGCTTTTAGAATTATGCCCAAAGTTGACTAGCAGCATTCCTGCTACAATGTAAGTGATCGTTATGCTGCAGTTACAGTATGTTTTAAATGGGTTTTTTTGCACTATAATTAGTTTTATAAGCAAAATAACAAACTGGGATTTGAACCAAGGCCAATTCAGTTCAGATCTAGCTAGAAAACTACCCTGATGCCCAGAGGTGGTATTCAGCAGGTTCTGACCAGTACTGGAGAACCAGTAGCAGAAATTTTGAGTAGTTTGGAGAACCGGCAAATACCACCTCTGACTGGAGATTTTACAGTATTCTTCCCCTGCCATACCCACCAAGCTATGCCCACAGAATTGGTAGTAAAAAAAAAATTGAATCCCACCACTGCTGACACCGCTTTCTATAAGAATTGGCAAAAAAAAATAAAAAGTATCCTCAGTATGATGAATCATCAGAAATGGCTTTGCTAAATCTACTGATGCCAAGAGACTATTAAGTTATTAAGAGTTGCTGCAAGTTTCAGTGAATAAACAGACTTATATCCAAGTTCCAGAGTATAATTGAAAGCAACCGTCCCTAACCAATTCTCTGGAAGGATCGCTAAACTTGCAACTGATTGTGTATGTGTGTGCCCCTGACTTTCAGTGTATTAGATCTAACTAGGCAACCCATGATCCATCAGTTTATTGTTTCAGATATGTCATCATTTCAGAAATATTTACTTAATCTAAGCAGAATGATAGAATGACCATAGGGAGGCAAAAAAAAGCAGTGGGAATGGGGGCAATTTCTGATTTCTTGCCAGTTTCCCCACTGACTTTACTTCTGGGAAGCTTGCGGGGAGAAAATCAATGTGAAAGCCAACAAGAAAGGTTGCAAGTTGCTCTGGTAGGTTTGCCCCACTTGCATACCCTCACCAGGGCCACTTCTGCACCTTTGTGTACCCTCCCCACACACCGCACCTGTGTGCAAATTCTGCAATCTGTGCTGCATTATAGCACACCCTCCTGACTCTTGGCATGCCTCTTATGCCCCCCTGGCTTCCTCCATACAGATCCTTCCTACAAAGCGATGTTCGCCAGCGAGGTTGAGAGGGAATATTTATCCTGCCTAAGCCATGCTCAGTGCCTTTCAACGAATCACTGAGGTTGCCTCTACTCTCTCTCTTAATTTCTTTAGGAAGTTGTGGGGAAATCAGGAGATTCAGGCAGTTCAAATGAGTATAAAAATTTATTGCAAGTTTAAGCTCTCTACAAGAATCCAACCAACTGACAGTTAAGGGAAATGAGCTGGAGTTAAGAGAGGCATTCAAGGTGGGCAGGACTTAGATCTCTTGTGGGCATGCAGGGACTCATGACTTATGATGTGTTTGACCCCTCCATCAGGCTCAGCCTGATTCCTACAAGTTGCTTATTGCTTATTTCTTTGGAGTTAATTTTTTTCCAAAAGACAAGCTGTATTGAACTGGGAGATTTTCCTTTCACTCTGGACAAAAGAAACTCTCAGTAAGTTTACAGAATAACAAGAGAAGCTTTAATTTTTGACAAGCAGCAAAAGGGGGAATAAATTGTTGATTTTGGAAAGTTAAGATGCTAGATGGCCTTGAAAGAATATTTCCGGTAGGGTACTTAAAAATTTATAAACAGTATATCAAGTCTTTGAAACTGCTTGTAAGAGATCCTCCTGTGGGAAAATTTTGTTGATTGGAAAATAAACTGATGATCTGAAGGGACTGAAGGGGAGAATAAAAGACTATTTTTGAAGAAAAACAGACACTTGAATACAATGGAGCAATACTATTTGACTATAGAAGAAATAAGGCTGTTTAGAAATGATTTTCTCAGAGGTTGCTTACAAGAGCAAGTGATACTATAGCAGAGGATATAGAAGATCAACAAATTTTCTTGAATAAAACAGAAAACTGACAGGGATTTGAATGTGGATTTGAAGTTTTAAAAAGTGTTGGATTAGAAAAATGATTGGAAAAAGATGTGGATTTCAATATGGATTTTAAAATGCCAGAATGTAAGAGCGGTATGGGAAACAATGCCAAAATGGATTTATCTATAAAACCAGCTGATACATGATGCAACTGAGGGGAATGTGGCAGGATGGCTGATTGGTATAAGGATTCCTGCCATGGGCAGGGGGTTCAATTTGAGGACCTCCAAGGCCCCTTCCAGTCCGATGATTCTATGACTCTATGTCCTAATAATCAAGGAGAAATTACGAATAAAAAAAAGCAGAAGAGTGAGTTGGAAAGCCTTCTTACTTTGGATTTATTGAAAGAATGTATGGAACAAAAAAAACCCTCTTCTTGAAAAGAGATAAAAATAATTGTTCAAGCTGTGCTTTGAAGGAGACAAAGAGAAAGTGATAAGAAATCATCTTGTGAGGCACTATATGATACGAAGATTTATAAAGTGAACCTGCTGAATAAGAATTAAAATATATGTTTTGTCACTTTTCTTCTTTTCTTTATTTTTTATATTTTTCTTAGCTTGCATTAGTTTGTTATCTATTTATTTATAAACTTTAATAAAATTATTGAGGAAAAAAAGAAAATGATAATGGCATAACCATGGCTGAGTACAACAGTGCTGAAACGGCCATAACTCTTCCTAATTCCAACCCCACAGGAATAATGGATCACAGATGTTGGATGCATTGTGCAAGTTAGTCCATTTGAGGTATCTTGTTGCACATTTTGTCCAGTTGCAGGTTACAAACAGACAAACTTGTGACACACAAGAGTGTTTGTATATATAGACATGTTATGTATACAGTGTAAACTATGGCACATAACTGTTTCACAATATTGTACATTGCTAAGATTCTGAAATTTGGAGTAGTTTCAGAAAAGGTCTGTATATGTCATCAGGGGCCTGAAATTGCAAATATTTGAATCATTGTGTGCAAACTGGGCAACTGTGAAAATTTGTTTAATAAAGTAATAAATAAAACAATTGAGGGAGGTAGATATGTTTAATGTTTAGAAAAGTTGACAGGATGCACGATAGCACTGTGCAAATATCTGAAGGGGTACCACAGTTTGTTCTCCACTGACTGAGTGGAAAATACACAATAATAGACTTAGATAGGAAATAGATGCCAACTGAATTTTTGAGGGGAAAAAAACTTCCTAAAAGTAAGAACGGGTCAATAGTAAAACCAATTGTAACCGGTGATGGCATTCCAAAAGAGGTCAGATTGATGTGTATTTGGAAGCCTTTAAGTTTAATCCACATTCCTGCACTAAGCAAAGGGCTAGTCTTGATGGTATAAATCAACCCTTCTATCTTCACGACTGTGATTTTATATCAGAGAGCCTGAAAAACTTAATTTAGACTGGCAGAAAAACAGAAGAAGTTAATGTTTCATGTCCCAGTTTCTGTTCCATGAAGGAGGCTGCTGCTTTTTTCTTTCCTTTTTATGAAATAAGATGACAGGATCTCAGCAACTTTAAAGGGCTGAAATCCTAGAAGGGATGTTTTCCCTCTAACAGCAGCTGAGAAGGCTACATCGGATTGATTTTTGCTTGGCACTTACTAAAATGAGGTGTATGAATCTGCAGATAAGAAAGCAGCCATCCCTCAGCCTCCTTCTGGGTTTCAGAGCGACCATTTGATAGCAGTGTTCCAATATTTGAGGGGCCGCCACAAAGAAGAGGGGACAACCTATTTTCCAAAGCACCGGAAGGTAAGACAAGAAACAATACATGGAAACTAATCAAGGAGAAAAGCTACCTAGAATTAAGCAGACATTTCCTGACAGAACAATTAATCAGTGGAACAGCTTGCCTCCAAAAGTTGTGGGTACTCCATCACTGGTACCTTTTAAAACAAAACTGGACTGGTATAAGATCTCCTGCTTGAGCAGAAGGTTGGAATAGAAGACCTCCAAGTGGGGTGGGATTCCACCGGTGTTTCTACTGGTTCGGTGACTATGTTTTGCGCGCGCATGTAAAAAAACCTTAAGCTGTGCTTCCTGGACAGTTGAAAAATGCTGTGCGCAGGTGCTGCACAAAACAGCTGAGGTTGAAAAAGCAGGAAATAAAGGTCAGGTAAGAGCCCGGGCAGGCGGGTGGGCCAAACAGCAGCAAACACAAAACCGGTTCGGTGTCTGCTGCTCTTCAGAGCTACCGGTTCTATAGAGCTGGGCAGAATCGGTAGCATCCCACCCCTGCCTCCAAGGTCCCTTTCAAATCTGTTATTCTCCATTGAGCTGCTTCGAGCATCCAGAGAGTGGGAGGTGCTTAGTCTCTGCTCAGATAGGCTGGGCTTAATTGTTAGGATGCTCTTACTCCTCCCTGGCTCCTCCCTAGCGGCCCCCAGTTTTAGCTCAGCCTTTGGTGTGGTAGGCAGCTTATCCTTGGCCGGAGCAGGAACACTTTGAGGTTTGGATTTCTTTAAAATGAACTAGATTCTAAATTGCTCTCTTCTTAGCTCCAACTGCAATTAGAGGGAAGCAGTCGGACCAAATTGCAGGTCGCCTATTGGCGATCTGGACACATTCACGTTCACAAGGCTCATAGCACCATTAATCGGCAGCCGCATTTCCGGGAGACACGTGGTTCCTTCCTTCCCTACAACCTTCTGTTATTGCCATTATGATTCAATTCGGCGCTGTTTAAACAGAGCGTGCTTTTCCTTCTACTTTTTTGCTGAGAATGTGGGGGCGTGGGGGTAGGAGCCCTTATTGTTCCCTTCTCACCACTCAATCGCGTACCAGCCATTTTTAGTTTGTCTTTTACTCCGATTGAGCGGTGAAAGTTTCTACTGTGTTGGCGCCAAAATACGGCCAGCGCCATCTTCTAGGGGGCCTGGTGGCTGTTCTATTTTGGCACACATTTTAACAAACACCGCCATAAACACGTTACATCGTGTGGGCATTTATCTCCTTAATAATATTTTGTGATAGGCTTTTAACACCCTCTAAGTTCCTGGTGCAGGTTACAGAGGAAAATAAAGATTGTTTCAACTCCCTTTACTCCGGTTTCGGGGAGACAAAAAAATTGTATATTCTTGTTGGCTGCCCTCACATTGGATATATATACAGATATTCATATATAGACTCAAAACACAGCAGCAAGCGACTACCAGGCTAAGTTCAGCCTGCGCAGACGGTGGTAGAGGGCCTCGTGTTCATTTGGCCTCCTGGTTTTTCTTCTTGAGCGTTCTCAAATTGGCATACTTACCCATTAGTTCACTCAAACATAAATAAATAAATAATAATAAATAACTAAATAAATCAAAATAAAATAAAACAAATTTTCAAAAAAGGGGGAGAGAAAGTTCATAGGGTTCCTTGCCCCTGTGGTGGTGCAGGACCCCAGACGCGCCAACCGTCCACATAGAAATATATATATTTATATATATTTGTTTTCTGAGGTCCATTTATATATATCTATATACAATTTCTCTATAATACAGATTCCCTCATAAATTGAGGTACCCAAGAATTGCAATGGAGAACAGAGAGGGCACTAGGACACAGACCTTAGATAAGTCCAAAAAAGCTAAGGGGCCATCAAAGGCCGCAGAGAAGGATGCCACCAGATGCCAAAAGGCACTGGAAAAGCAAATTGAAAGATGTACTAAGGAGGCTAAAAGAATTTCCCAACCTCCTCCCCCCAACCCAGTTGCCTCAAATTCCACAGACTCCAGTGGCCCTAGACTTATGCATGCCATCCAGACCTACTACCACCGCGCAGGCCCCATCAGCTGTTCAGGCTTCAAGGCAGGTCCCAGAGGCAACCTTTACACCAACAGCAACTGGCCTATGTCAGGAGGAGTTCCTGCCAGACGAAATTCCGGAAACAATGAGAGCTTGGATGGAACTGGCGATTTGCAGAGGAATCGCAGCGGGGATGCAACAATCCATGATGG